TCGATGTAGGCGGCTGTAAAGTTGGAGCCTTCACAGACATTGGCTCTATGCGGAATTTGATTWGTCGTGCTTGTGTGGATAGGTTGCGCTTAGGGGACCAAGTGCAGCGGCTTAGCAGATCTGTAGCATCCACCTTAGCCAACAAGCACTCCATGGTTGTCACAGACTATGTCAAGGATGTAGTCTGTACCTTCTCCTATGAAGGACGGGAACTGAGACACAAGATTTCGTTCCTGGTGAGCGTTGAGTTTCCATTTGATATGTTGCTACGTATGTACTATCGAGTAGCAAAGCCTCAGTTTGATTCGGATAGGAAGGTGATGTTATACAAGTTGTCAGATGGGAGGACCATTAGTTTGCAGAAATACAAGGCCAACAGACTAGTGGAGGCTTATGGTTGTATGTGTGCGTCAACTTTCTATAATTATTATAAGCAAAATCAGGAGGAAGAAATGTATTTAGTTTTTGTCTCTGAGAAAAGGGAGGCCGTTAAAACACCCCCATAAATAGGAGAAGTCATTGCTAGATATCCAGAATCTTTTTGAAGGTCCTAGGGGCGTAGTCGACTGAGAGGTTGTCCACGCTATTGAAGTCATTCCTGCCCAGGGAACGGATTTACAAGATGTCTCCTGCGAAGTTAGACGAACTCTGCCGACAACTTAAAAAGCTCACATAGAAGGGTTGGATTCGGCCTAGTATGTCCCCCTACGGTGCATTTGTTCTCAAGAAAGGGGGAACCCTTAGGATGTGCATTGACTATAGGGGCCTCAATGGCATCACCGCATTGAGCCCCTACCATGCATCGATGACCTCTTGGATCTAGTGCAGGGATGCCGGTACTTCACAAAGATAGATCTGAAGTCCATATACCACCAGATTGCAATTAAACATGAGGATCAACAAAAAAACGCCTTTCGGACCAGGCACGGTCTATACGAGTTTGTGGTGATGCCGTTTGGTCTTTGCAATGCTCCTGAGACATTCCAACACGCCATGAATAGGATCTCTCATGACTACCTAGATAAGTTTATCGTCGTGTACCTCGATGATATCCTTATCTTCAAGGACTGTCGAGGAGCACGCTAAGCACGTTGAGATCGTGTTGAGTCTCCAGCGCCAACACCAGTAGAATATCAATTGGAAAAATGCGGATTTGGTCGCACCAAGATCTTGTACTTGGGTCATGAGATTTCTATTGATGGATTGAGGCCGGATAATGCCAAGATTGTCAGCATATGTGACTGAGGTGAGGTCGTTCTTGCGGATGACAGGCTACCAACGTCCGTTTGTGAAGAACTATAGTACTATAGCTTCCCCATTGACGGACCGCACTCGCCTTGATACCCCATGGGAGTGGACAGATAAGCACGAGGGAGACTTCAAGAGACTGAAGTATGCCCTCACGCACCATGAAGTAGTGACGCTTCGCGATCCTGAGACGCCTTTTGTAGTGACCACGGATGCTTGTCAATATGGCATTGGCGCGGCCGTTGCGCGGCAGGAGGGGAAAAGTTAAGGCCGATAAAGTACATGAGCAAGAAGATGCCGTCTCAAAAGCTAGCTACGTTCACCTATGAGCGGGAACTCTACGCCCTATACAAAGCATTGACTCACTGGAGGCACTACCTTCTTGGCAGATTTTTCTATGTGAGATCTGACCATGASACCCTTCACTGGATTGCGACGCAACCTGCTCTCTTTGACGCACTGAAAAGATGGATTGAAGTCATAGATATTTAAGACTTCAAGTTTGACCATCTCAAGGGAGAGTTCAACAAGGTAGCGGATGCATTGTCTAGGAGTTCATACTATCTGGGCGCCCTAGTGATTGAGTTCGGGATATCTGACGATGTGACTCAATCAATGGTGGAAGCGTATCAAGAGGATCCACTGATGTCTGAGATCATTAGCAAGCTTGAGGCCAAAGACAAGGCCACATCGGACGGGTTTGTAGTGGTGGAAGGCTTGTTGTTCCTCAAGAAGGCAGGAAATAAATATTTGTGTTCCGTCTAGAGAATCTTTGCACAGTTTGTTTCTAGGTGAATGTCATGACGCAACCGGTCATTTTGGTTTTAAGAAAATGTCAGCAAACTTAGTGCAACGTTTTTGGTGGCACACGATGATGGAAGACGCAAAGAAGTATGTGCAAACATGTCAGGTTTGTCAGCATGATAAGCCCTTGCCTATCCCTGCTGGTCCTGGTCAGAGTGTGTCCATGGATTTCATGGATACTCTCGAGACCAGCACGAGTGGAAAAAGGCACATCTTCGTCATTGTGGACAGATTCAGCAAGTACGCTAGGTTAATTGTGATGCCAGAAACAGCTAGGACTGACCATGTAATTAAGCTGTTTATGGACAACTGGATGCATGACTTTGGTCTTCCTAAGTCCATAGTTAGCGACAGGGACGTCAGATTCACCAGTGAACTATGGCAAAGCACAGCCCAGCAGATGGGAACCCAACTGCAGATGACATCAGGGAATCACCCTGAGTCCAATGGCCAAGCTAAGCAAATGAACCGGGTAGTGCAGCACCTGTTCCGACATTACATCAAGCCAAGCCAGGATGACTGGGATGAGAAGTTGCCTCTCACCGCCAGCCTATACAATAATGCTGTACACAACACTACGGGCATACTCCCAATCAGTTGCATCTTGGTTGGAAGCCCAGATCAGCGCTTGATTCTCTGCTGCCTGAGAACCAGCACACAGCAGCACCTGGCAGCATTGAATTTGCTGTCAAGTATGACAAGATGCTGCAGCAGGCTGTTGAACACATTAAAAAAGCGCAGGAAACTATGGTAGCTTCCGAAAACAGACACAGACGGCCATCTGCATTCCAGGTAGGTGAAGGGTATGGGTTAAATCATTTGAACTGGGACAGGAACTGGGTATATCTAGAGAACTCATGCCACAGTACTTTGAACCCTGGGAAGTTCTGTACAGAGTGGGAGGTCAACCAGACGGGCCTTCGTATATCATTCGTATCTCTGGTCACCTACRCACACACCCTGTTTTCCATGCCTCCAAACTGGCTCCTTTTGCTGAGACCGACAATTTTCCTTCAAGGGATCCATGCTGCCCCCAACCATGGACGGACACGTGGACATTGACGATATCATAGAGCACAAAGTGATGCCTGTGCCCAAGCCTCCAGGCAGCCCAAGCCGCAAATGCAGTATCGAGTCCGGTTCAGACATCATGTTGACCCRGAGGAAGATCGGTGGTTCACAGAGAAGAACTGATGAAGACTGCTCTGCAGGTTATCGCAGGATACGAAAGAAGACTGARAGGGAAGCAGCCAGCTAATTAAATACTTCTCGGCATACCTGCATGTGGCCCCTACAGCAAGCGTGTGCCCGCCCTAAGTGAACGTGGGCCCACGAATCTCAATGAGGCCTAAATTTGTCAATTTTGCAAGGCCTTGTTGGGCGCCAGACAGTTGCCATGYGTCAGTTGGTTACATCTGCCCTTCTCGTGAGAATCAGAAACATTTGTGAGCCTTCTAGGCTCTTCTGGCTACGCAGGGGAAGCAAAGTACACCTCACGCTTATGCGATCCCAGGCCAGTATCTGAATTGGGCCTGGGCGCAGATCGCAGGGCCTCAAGTGAAGCTACTGGGCACACTGTCCACCCAGCCTGGAAGCTTCCAGGCCGGACAACTTTCCATATAGGAAAGTGCCTGGCTGTGTGCTGGACATTCGGGCACTTGGAGGCGCAAGTGGCAGCACTGTYGGAACGATTGCTCACGCCTGCTAGCTTGCGCTGAGGTGCTGCGACATGCGCACACGGGCGCAGGTTGAAGAGAGTTGGGCGCTGCTAGTGAACAGTGCAATAGCCCAGACTACCATAGACGGGCTTGGGAAGAGACATCTGGCGGGGATTGGCGGTGGTCGTTGGATGGTGATGGAACTTGGGTGGAGAAGACAAGGGTGAGCATAGAGAGGGTGAGTGTGGGGGTGATGTGAGAKCACGAACCTGGTCTTGGCGGAGGTCTGCATGGTCGACATCTGCAGGTACTTCGGTCACTTCTGCTGACGTCAACTGGTTGCTTCGTCATTTCTGTAGGCTAGCGTAGTAGCTGTAGGATAGTATTCTGGGCGCTGAGCGCCAGTAGGAGGAAGAGCTTCGAGTACATTGTTGGTGGTCGAGAGAGAATGCTTTCACTGACAAGTGAGTTCGCTGCTTTGGTTCTCCTTTGGTGTGATATCAGTGCATTTCTGCTTTGTGGACGGCTTGCGATTATCTGGCTCTGCTTTGTGGATGGCGGATTATCTGGCTTTCAATGTGATATTGCAATTTGAAATTATGTCAGTTGACTCATTTTGCTATTGCTTATTTTCCTTGCATGTGTGTGTGTGTGTGTGTGTGTGTGTGTGTGTGTGTGTGTGTGTGTGTGTGTGTGTGTGTGTGTGTGAAAAAAAGAAAAAAGGAGAAAAAAGGAGAAAACAAAGTCCCCCATCTTCCTTTCGTAGAGCGCAGTCCTGCCTCCTGTACTCAGATTTCACCCCATTTAGTGGACTTCTGGCTGGAATCCCAGTAATGTCTATGGTGTTCTTTCCAGCTTGCCTCTTGGTTGATTATTCAATARCACTGCACTGTCTACACATCAATGGCCTCTTGGTTGATTCTATAGCGCTACACATGAGAGACCATGTCTTGGTTGACTATTCTTTCCAGGCTGCCTATTTGCTGACTATCCAATAGCCTCTTGGTTGATTCTATAGCACTACACATCAAAGACCATCTTTTGGTATAGGAACAAAAAAGGTGACTTAAAGGACRCTCGACTAGACATGCCGATGGGAGGATTTTTTCTAAAACAATGGAATGGACACTCTAAATAGGGTTCAGTGCAGAGTGTCTGCCCTCAGAACTGCCAAGATTGGAAAAGGGGAAGCAAAAATAGACCACCAAATAATAGCATTAGGGCGCCCCATAGATATACACTATTCTGAATTCTGGTCAAATTTTGTCTTGGCCGCTCTGTTTTAACCAGGTAGGGCTCCCAAGGGTGGGCGCTTGTGGAGGATCGTGTGGAGAAGTACTTGAGGGAAGTAATGGTTCTAGCCCGATGAGAGAGCGAGAAGTCACTTCGAACGTCGGGCGTGGCAGACATTGGGAGGTGAAGTCGGAGGAAGAAGACGGATCGCCAGATGGAGTCGTGGCAGAAACAGGCATCAGGAGAAGCAAGGGAGATCACTCCACTGAAAGTGGCGAAGCGACAGCAAATGCTGCAAGGGAAGATGAGAAGGAGAGCACATCAGCACCTCCGGAGACTTCAAGGAATCCGACAGCCAAGTTGAGCCATGAAGATGGAGGCCGTGACTTGACCAAACGGGGTGGCCTGAACGAGTGCCACAGTGGTGAGGGCAACGACGGTGAAGGAGCAAGGGTAGTCGTGGAGGAGGCGGAGAAGAAGAGGGAGGAGGAGGGAGAGACAGAAGACGATGATGAGGAAGAGGAGGAGGGGGAGGAGGAAGAGGAGGAAGAGGAGGAAGACGAAGTTCTGGAGGAGGAAGAGGGGCTTGAGCAAGAGGTCAAGCGTGAGGAGGAGGATGAGGGAGAGGAGGGGGAGGAGGAGGAGGAGCGTGGGCTTGAGGAGGCAGAGGAGGACGATGAGGGTGGCGTGATGCAGCTCGCAAGAGCCGTGGCTGATAATGAACGAATGCTGCGAGAGGGGACAGAAAAGGCGGCAGCTTTCAGAGAAGGATCATTGCCTCTTCCCATGAGAGATCATGCTCATATGGATGACGTCTGTGAAAAGCAGTATGCGAGGCTGGTCAGCGACCTTCTCGCTCGGAAATCATGCTGGTTCTCAGGGGCAAGGGAGGGGGACGAGGCAAGTCTCCGAAGCGATCGCTTTCTGGAGGTGCTCAGCARGCTGACGGAATCAGAGGTTCAAAGACTTGCGAACATTATAGCCGACATCATTCGCTTGAAGAGGGAGAGGTGGGMTCAAGACACTGAAAGCATGAGCGGTGATGGTGACGCTGTAAATAACTTTGATGCCGACTCCATACCAATCAGTCATAGATGCCAGCCCAACGATTCTGCTAGAGAAGAAGCTGTCAGGATGGCGGGTGCTCACGAAACTGTCATGGAAAGTACTCTGAATGTCCAAATGAGCCGGAGCAAGGACAGGCTAGAGAGGATGGGTCTGATGGAAGACCTGCTGCGAAAGCAAGTCACGGCGAATGCCAAGGGGAGAAAAGAGGAAGGAGGCAGCAGCAGTGGCCCTGACCTCGTGCAGGTTACCGCCCTCCTAAGAGCACGAGTGACAGAGCAAGAGGCATTGCTCGACAAGTTTAGAAAGGAGAACCTGGAGAAAGACAGCCGGATCGCAGAGCTGCGGAGGGAGCGTGATGCATGCATGGAAAAGTACTTAGGCATTCGGAATGACCTYCGATTGATACTCAGAMGGTATTCATTAACCTCTCTTGGAAACCAACAAACACGTTCTCTACCCATCAACACAAATGCTTTTGTGTTGAACCCTGCCACATGAGTTCAACGGTTCAAACGYGTGCGATCGAACTGAAAACCATGATCCTTGTCATTCCGAATACRTGTCTACCTCCTCTGTGCCCAATAGTTCGATCAAGAGCTCCAAGGCATGTATTCGGAATCACAAGGATCATGTTTTTCAGCTCCATAGCAAGGGTTTGAACCGTCGACCTAACACAAGAGGCTCATAAACAACTCGGTCAATCACGACCTCACAAAAATTCCGCTTTGCTGTTGCTGCAAAGCCTTGGGCGCCTCATCTCCACAGTYTGTGTCGACAGACGCATGACAGATCCCCCSGCTTACTCTGATGTGCACTACAGGCAAGGGTTTAAAACCTACCTTTCCCTTATTTTACGGAGATTAACGAGGATTACATTGACATCTCACTGTAACACTCGACCTTCCCATGAGCATTCCTTGATGGGATCCGTGCAAGGGACTCATAGGGAGGGGAAGAAGATTACTATCTATAAAATGGGACTGATAGGGACGAGAGAGAGAGAGAGAGAGAGAGAGAGAGAGAGAGAGAGAGAGACAGAGAGACAGAGAGACAGAGAGACA